ATGTGGTGGGAGGATTTTCTTTTCTGGTCAGATTTGTTAGGTGTTCTGTAGGCCTCATGTATTCTTATTGGCTTCTCCTTTAACTTGGGGAAATTTTCTTCAATGATTTTGTTGAAAATATTTTCTGGGCCTTGGAGAAGGGAGTCTTCTTTTTCCTCTATACTTGTTATTCTTAGGTTTTGTCTTTTCATATTGTCTTGGATTTCTTGGACGGTCTGTGTCAGGAATTTTTTGGATTTAACATTTTCTTTGACAGATACATCGATTTCTTCCATTGTATCTTCTACACCTGAGATTCTTTCTTCCATCTCTTGTAGTCTGTTGGTTATACTTACCTCTGTAGTTCCTGTTTTCTTCCCTAAATTCTTCCTCTCCATTATTTCCTCCATTTGTGTTTTCTTTAATTTTTCCAGTTCTATCTTCAGGTCTTGAGTTGTTTTGTTTACTTCCTTCACCTGTCTGATTGTATTTTCCTCTTTTTCTTTTAGTTCCTTCAACTCTGTTTCTTTTATTTCTTTCAGTGATTTAATTATTTCTTCTCTGAAGGCCGCAAACTCTTTGGCTGTATTTCTTCACGGATGGCCATAATCTGCTTGTCTTTAACTTCCTCCATTTCTTTACGGATAGCCATGATCTGTTTGGTTTTATCTTCCTCTAATTCTTTACGTATTTTATTTGTTTCCTCTATTATCATCTTCATCAGCATAGATGTAAGGTCATCTTGATTTTCTATTATGCTGCGTTGTCCAGGGTTGTTCGCCCCTGGATGGCTGGGTTCTGGAGATGACCTATTGCTCTGTCTTTTGTTGGTTGAGCTTTTATGCTGACCTCTACCCACTGGGCTGTTTTAGGTGTTGGCTCTTAGTTTCTGTGCTTCCTGGAGTCCTGAGGTAGGGAGAATCCCCTTGGCCGGAAGATGATTTTTCCTGAAGGAGTCCTCCTCTGCTTTTTGGTTATGGTCACTGTATGGCCAGTGTTTCTCAGGAATTGCCACTGTTCACCTCAGGTGTATAGACCTGAGTAGTAGCTGTGGTCTTTGTTAGGCAGGGGAGGATCTCCTCTTACCCATAAAATTTCTCAAGACAGCTGCCCCACTGCTGGGTTATAAATTTAGTGAGCTGCTGCTGTTGTTACAGTTTTCCAGGTACAGTCCTCTTGAAGAACCTGCTGATTCCCTAGCTGTGGGGTTTTCTCCCAACAGGGAAACTCAGTCTGTTATCCTGGGGCGCACAGTTCTGTCCGGGAAAGTGAGAGGAGCGCCCATCAAGTCTCTGGGCCAGAGTCTGATTGCTCTGCTCTGGGCCTGGAGAATGTGCACCTAGGTTGAGTTGGCGCCTGGGGGCGCAGCTCTGGTCTGGAGGCTGGGTGCCTCACTCTGGACCAGAAGCTGTGTGTCCCTGTCTGGGATGGCGGCTGCAGGCACTGCTCTGGTCCGGACTCTGTGGGTGCAGCCCTCTTGAAGGACCAGGGATTCCCACAGTTTTGTCAGTCTAGCTAGGGATAACTGGTTGATCCTTTGCACAGTATCTGAGGGCTGCTATAATGGCTCTCTGGTTTTTGTAGGTCTGAGGATGCAGCTGTGTGCCCCAGTTCCCTAGGGGAACTCAATAATGGTGGCTGAGCACAGTGCTCCTGCCTGCATTAGGAAGCTAGAGCCTAGAATCTGAATCCAGAAAGTCTTTTGGTGCTGGGTGTCCTGAGCGTTAAACCTGATGACCCCCCCCCGCTGGGGGTTTCCTCCTGCCAGAGACACCCAGTCTTTGCTTTGGGGACTGCTGTTCTGTCTGGGGTGGCGAGTAGAACCCACAGGCACAGAAGCCCGCCTGTGGCTCTGCCTTTCCTGTCTTTGGGAGTCTGGGCATCTGCCTAAACTGGATAATTTTCCCGAGACCTTTTCAGGGTGGGGGTGTCGGCTGAGTGCTCTGAGATCAGACCAGCCGTTTCCCTCCCTGTGGGTTTGCACCTGACAGTGAAAGTCAGTCTGTGGTGCCCTGGTGTCCTGGGGCCCACAGTTCTACCTGAGGCGGCGAATCAGGCGCGCAGGCAGGGCTTTGTACAGGCGCCTGGGTCCCTGGCTCTGGCTCCGGCCTGGCTCCTGGGGCGCCCGTGGAACCCGACTCTTTTCCAGGGGATGTCTGGGTGACCTAAGGTTGGTCCCAATCGTTTCCTTCTCCGTGGGTTTATCTCTCGACTGGAAAATCCAGTCTGTGATGTTCTGGGCCCACAGTTCAGTCTGGGACAGTGACCAGATCATGCTGGTGTGTAGCTCTGGGCTGGCGACCAAGTGCCTGGTGGAACCAGGATCTCTTCCGCGGTTTAGCCGAGTGAGTTAAAGCTGATTGAATCCCCCACCGTGGGGTATCCTCTCACCTGTGAAACACAATCACTTGTGTTTTATGGCCGCGAGTTCTGATTGCTGGTCACTGTGCCAATCCTGCTGTGCTCCTGCTCAGAATGAGTCCTCCTGGCGCCGCCATCTTGCCCTGCCTCTCACTAATTTGCATTCTTATCAACAATGTGTAAGGAAAACCTACATTTTGATTGTGGTAAAAATTAGATGTTTGGTAAATAACTGTCAATTGCAATTTAATTTTAAAATATGGTAAGTTTTTTTTTTTTTTTTTAAATAAAAGCAGTAGTGGAATACACACACATACTCATCTAAGGGAAGGGACTCAAGCTTATGTCTATTATGATGAACATAACACTGGGCCTCCCAGGACTGAGCTACCATAGACACTTAAGTTGTTTCTGTGGCTTGGCTGCTGTAAATAGCGCTGCTGGACATTCTGGTGTAGGTGACTTTACAAAGAAGATTACTCAGTCATATAGTGGTATTTTTAACTGTTTTCAAAACCTACATACTGTTTCTCAACATTGCTACAACAGTGGACATTTCTGCCAGTAGGGTTTCTTTTCTCTGTGCACCAGACACCCCCCTTCCCATGGTTTAGCTACCACATGGGGTGACTTTAAAAGAGTGGCTTATTTTGGCTGTACTTTCAGAAGTTTGAATCCATGGTCATTTGGGCCCTTGTTCTTGCCTCTGTTGCAAGGCAATCTCTCAGGAGGACAGCATGTCTACTTCAGGGTCAGGAAGCAGCTGGTGTCTTCCTGCCTTGAAGTAACAGGCCCTTTCTTCTCAAGATCGCTAGTCCTTTCCAGCAGCATCAAGCTGGGGATTAACCAGAAGCCCCTTTAGGGGTTGGGCCTTTGTGTAGGGGGCATGAGCGGTGCAGATGAACAAGCACTGGAGAAGCCAGGAATGTTAGCCGTGCAGCATTGTGTCCTTAATGGAGGAAGTGATGCTGTTTCACACCACCACTCAGCTGGCGAGTTTGCTGTCTGTAGAGCCTGACCTCACCCGAATCACCCAGGATGCTTATTCCAGACGCTCTCTCCCTAGACCTTTCTGGTTAGCTTTTAGTCAGTAGATCCCATCCTCGGGAGATGTCACATACTTTACAGCCTGCTGACCTCTGTGCCAATCTCAGTCAGACCAAACCAGATCCTAGAGCCTCCTAAGCTGTAGAGCCCATTTTCATAGGGGAGGCCACACCTACTTTGCAAAAGAGTCAGTATAGTCATGCCTTAAGCTTTATTCACATGGGATTGGGATAATTGTTACCAAGAACCCTTTATCCAAAATTACACTCAAATATGTCTAAATAAATTGCCTGGTGTCAGATTCTAGAAATTTGAACCAGCACGAACTAAGTCAGGCTGTAGTCGTTTCCCTGTGGGCTCTGCTGCTTGCAGGGGCTCCCCTCCCCCACACCTTTGGGGGAACATTCTAGGTCCCAAGCAGTGCAGCCGTCTTTCTGAGAAGAGATGTGGAGTGTGTTTTTGGGTACCTGCCTGCGATTTCTTCATTTTCAAGTCCTTTGCCTGTTTTTCTTGCAGGTGTTCTTGTTTTTGAGTTCTGTAAGTTATCGATATTAACTTGTGTGTTTATCCCTTACCCGATAATAGTTTATAACTTCTCCACAACATGTCAATTGCCTTTTTACTTTTACTTTGTGTCTGCATCACCTAAAAGCTTAGATTATGCAGATAAATACATGAAATTCTATTACATTATAATCTTATTTTTACCTCAAAGGGGTCAAATTTAGGTACTTTAATTGCCGTAAATTAACTTTAGAAGAACATGTCCACATTTTAAAGCTGGCTGATGTGTAATTCTAGGGGAGATGACTTTTCACCTCATTGTGGATTTAGTTGTTTCCAGTGCTGGGGATTGAACATAGCGTCACACATTTGGAGGCAAAAATTGTGTCATGACAGCTCCTCCCATTCTGAACACAGAATCACAGGACAGTCACAGAAGTGTTAGGGGTGTGGGTCAGTGGCAGAGGAAGTGCTTAGCCTGCATGAGGCCCTGGGTTCAGTCCCAGCACAGAAGGGAACTTGCACTCACTGGCCATACCCAGATGCATGCTGCTGCTTCTCCTTGGTGAGGAAATACACACAGCATGTACAAGAGCGATTAAGTCAGGGTTTCGGTACGTAACCCCGGGTTTAGACTTTATTGGGAAGTACCCATGATGGCCCACCGGGTAACGCCACATGTGTCAAGCCCAGTTAAGTTCAATCCCTGGAGCCCACATGCAGGAAGGCAAGCGGAGACTGCTGTGGTTTGCACTTGCGCCGTGACACGCAGGCCGTGCCACACAGCATGCATACATAAATAACCTTACAGGCCAACTAGTCACAAAATACGTCACTGAGACATGGCAAAACTTGCATCCGTGCTACTCCTGCTTGTTACCTGCTGCTGTATAGGGAGTAATTGATGGTTAGCCACTGCACTGTCTCTGGTTCTAGGTAGAGGTTTGCGCACGGTGTGATGCGCAGGGTCTGTGCCATGGTGTTTGGGAAGAGCAGATCTTTGAGTATGTTACAGGTACTGGATTTAAGAGAATAAACTTTATGATCTTTGAGTATGTTACAGGTACTGGATTTAAGAGAATAAACTTTATTTTGTTGTTTTGCTGTAGCTCAAATCTAATCCAAATGAACATGAAGAGAAGGAGGCCCAGTCTCAGCTTGTGAAATCTGATGAGATGCAGCGATTACGTTCTCAAGCACTCGATGCTTTTGAAAGTGCCGATTACCCTGCTGCTATAACCTTCCTTGATAAGATTTTAGAGGTGAGTGCAGCTGACGGGTCTGGAGCTGCCTTTCAGAGTAAGGCATGTGTGAGACACTTGGACATGTTCATGTCCTACCAAAGCCAAGACAGGACACAGACTGAGCCTTGGGCTTTTAAAGATTGGTCATGGGAATTTGTAAGTTTTTTAGTAAATGTTGGTATGCTGTAAAGTGTGAATTACATTTCATTGCTTTTTGAGACATGATCTCTCTCAGGATAGCTCTGGCTGACCCCAAACACTATGTAGACCAGGCTGGCCTTGAACTCACACAGCTCTGCCTGCCAATGTCTCCCAGGTGCTGGGATTAAAGTCGTGCACCACCCTGCCTGGCCAGGAATTACATATTTTTACTCACTGCTTGTTACACTTTTTTTTTTTTTTTTGAGAATACTATGCTAGATAATGGTGAAAGACAAGTTACTTAGAAAGAAAAGAAAGATGGTGTTTGGAAACAAAAAGAAACGCTTATAGTGAGAGTCTTCTAGAGAGAAGGCAGACAGTGCTATGACAGGGAGGACGGTTCTGACAGGAAGCACTGAGTTTAGCGCTGCCTTCCTCAGAAGGGTTTAATGGCAGATGAGTCAGAAAAGCCTGAATGGGAATGATGAATACAGTTACCATTTCCACAGCTCTTTGACTCAGTATTGGCGATAAACATGTGATATGTGGAAAATAGGCATTCATTTGAGAATTAAGAAATTACGTGTGTGTATGAATGTGTGATGGAGATCGTGGCGTGTGCTTGTGTGTACTGTGCTGTTCTCGTGGAGACCAGAGATTAGTCTTGTGAGTTACTTCTCCTCTGTGTGGGTTCTGTGGGTCACACTCGAGTCACCAGTCTTGTGTGCCAGCGTCTGCACATACTAAAACATCTTGCATCTTGCCCGCCTTATTTGATTATTTTATGGAGGAGAAGTGATAGTGCATGGAGTTCTTGCTGTACTAAACCATCTTATTGATAGAAATATAAAACTATCATTTTCACTGGAAGGCTGTCCATTTGGGCCTATCCCATTGTCAGAATAGGTACTACTGGTTTTTGGTTTTCATATATATAAAGCTGACATGTTTGAAGCTCTGAGGAAAACAACGTACAGGCCCTGTGTATGGTGAGCTTGGGGTATCTGTTTGGAAGAATCTACTGTGTTTAGTGAGTATAATGGACTTTTCATAAAACAGGAATGGTGAAGTCTTAACTTCCATGTTATTTTCCCTTTTTAAAAATGAGGATTTAACAAGGAAGCAAGGATGTAGCAGTTTACATCCTTAATTTGATAATTAATGCAGTTTAAGTATTTTGCTAATTGAGAACATAGGTTTTGTTCTGGGGGTGTAGCTCAGTTGGTAGAGCTTTTGATCAGTACTCACACAGCCCCGAGCTGGACGCCTGGATTAACTGAGCATGAGGGGCATAGGGTATTGGAGACCAACTTAGTATGCACGATATCCTGTCTCAAAACACAAGACAAAGCAAGAATTACAAAAACAACAGATTTTCTTAATTATATAAATTAAAATTGTTGAGCATTGCATAATATCTTCAGATGTCTGAATGGGAATAACCATATGGCTTTTTTCTTTCCGTCTTACTCTTTTCTTTTCTTTTTTCTTTTCTTTCTCTCTTTTTCTTCCTCTCTCTCTTTCTTCTTTTGAGAAAGGGTTTCATTGTGCATCAAGCTTGCCTGAACCCAATGTGCAAATGCTATGCTTATATTTAGGGTTTTAAAATTCTGTAATCTGGGAATGAAGGAAATAAAAAGCCCTATTGCTGCAATATATCTCCTCTCTCAGAATTTAAGACACACTGAAGAAATTATCACATTCTATTTGTCACACTTAAGTGTATCAGGATTTTAAACACCATTTATAAAACAATGACTTTAATCACACTAACAGAGGGTTTTTATGTTTGTGGATTAAAGTGTGGGATGCAAGAGTCAATGTGCATACCTTATGTGTCTTAAAGTCTAGTTCTTTTGTTTCTCAAGGTTTGTGTTTGGGATGCAGAATTGCGTGAACTGCGAGCTGAGTGCTTCATAAAGGAAGGGGAGCCTAGGAAGGCGATCAGTGACTTAAAGGCTGCTTCAAAGCTGAAGAGTGACAACACAGAGGCGTTTTTCAAAATCAGCACACTCTACTACCAACTTGGAGACCACGAGCTGTCCCTCAGGTCAGTCCCTGTGACATCCACATTTGTCTTTTTTTTTTTTTTTTAAAAGATTTAGTTATTTATTATTTATACAATATTCTGCCTGCATACCAGCAGAGAACACCAGATCTTTTAGGTTATCACTAGATAACCTAGGTTATCCCTAAGGTGTTAGATAAATTCTACAGCTTCTTTTCATGAAATAGTCTTATTAACATAAGTGTTTAATATATAACTCTAGGCCATTTGAATTACCGTGTCTGAGACAATGTGCATAGTAAATTATGAACTTCTCATTGTTCCAAACATAAATACTTTAATGAATTTCTCTACTTAATACAGAGAAGTAGTCAGTGATTATTTTGACTTGGAATATTTCTTTTTTTTTTTTTTTTTAAATTACATGAACAGTGAAGTTCGCGAATGCCTGAAACTTGACCAGGACCACAAAAGGTGTTTTGCGCACTACAAGCAAGTAAAGAAACTTAATAAGCTGATTGAGTCAGCTGAGGAGCTGATCAGAGATGGCAGGTAAGAGCCTCTCCTTATCTGCCTGGTTAGGATCTGGATGGCCCTGAGCTTAGCAGCGCTGCGAGGGTTACAGTCACTGTTGACACAGACACAGAGTAATAGTAACTGGACAGTGTCCACCTAACTACAGAGCTGTGCGCTGGCTCGGAGTCTCTCGTTTTGAGTGTCAGGCACTGCACTGTGTACTGCGAGTGCAGAAATGTGACTACACCTTTTAGGTTATGTGGAGGCTGATTGAAGTGCTTGAGTGGATCTTGATGGGCTAAGCAAAGCAGAGCCCTCAATCCAGTCTGCAGTAGTGAAGACCAGGATTAAAAGAAAAACTCTTGGAGAGCGGGGAGAAGTTCTCATGTTAAAGTAGGAGCTGCTTGAAGCAGTGGGTGTGTCTGTGAACACGGCAGTGTGGGCGTTGGAGGCTGGGGCGGCGGGTTCCTCACAGTGCTGCCCACGGTAGACTCTGCCCTCCCCGCTGGTGAGACCTTTGTAGCTGTCACGAGACTGCCTCGCCTAGTTGACTTCACTGTCCTACAAACTGTACTGTCTTGGAGTACTGTAACGCATAATCAAGATGCTGATTAATTCTGTCACCGTGTGAGCACCTCTTGGGTGTACGGCTTCTTTTACAGCCAATCACTTCCCTGTCCCAGCCTTCCTTAGATCTGAGCAACGACTAATAGAGTCTTTGTTTCTGTGGTTTTGCCTTTTCAAGAGCATTAAAGAAATGGGGAAAGGGGAAAAGGGATGGGGGAGAAGGAAAGAATACTCAAGTTAGTTTATTGATAGTAAGTTTATTGGGCTTACAGGGACATGGATGACCCAAAAGCAGCTCTCACCTCGGCATGGATGATGAGGTGCTAGGAGCTAGAGTCCTTTCATTTAACTTTCAACCCATTATACTCCCCAGCCACATGCTGTGCATTGTTTTTATTGTATTTTTGTGTGCATGTCCTGGAGAGGACACATGGGCTTTCTCCACTGTCTGAGTCTTAGGGCTTAATCTCAGGTCATCAGTCTTGTTGACAAGGGTCTTAGCTGCTCAGTCATCTGGTCATCCATTCCTCCAACCGCATGCTTTAAATTGATACAAGAAGCTGGCCATCCACCCCCAACCACATGCTTTAAAGACGCCTGCCTCTGGATTGAGCACTTACTCTGCATTAAGATTAGATGAATTCTATTTGAAGGCAGGTGTTGTGCTTGCTCCATTGTACTAATTAAGCAATACGTAGCGAAAGGAGAGGGTGCTATGTACAGCTTTGCAGATAGTTTTGTTGTTAATGCCTGGTTGCTTATTTCATAGATACACAGATGCAACCAGCAAATATGAGTCTGTCATGAAAACTGAGCCCAATGTTGCTGAGTATACAGTCCGCGCAAAAGAAAGGATCTGTCACTGCTTCTCTAAGGTAACACTTTCTTGTGAACACTTAACATGGACTACCTCATCACTGTAAGCGCACACCCTCCCTGAGCATGCTCTCTGGCCCACGGTGCTTGTTTTCATTCATTCTTTTGGTACTCAGGATTTAACTTGGGAATCTGTGATGAGAGGTAAGCCCTTTCCGCTGAGGTGCACCTCCAGCCATAGTTTCTTTTCTCGCCTTACTCTTAGGATGAGAAGCCTGTGGAAGCCATTAGAATATGCTCTGAGGTTTTACAGCTGGAACCTGACAATGTGAACGCACTGAAAGACCGAGCAGAGGCCTATTTAATAGAGGAAATGTACGATGAAGGTAAATTCTAAAGGGATCTGATGTGCACTATCTAAAGGTTAAATTGTATGAAACCAGCACATACTCGGTTGCATTTTATGTTGAACAGATTCTTCTGCAAATGGCTAAGAATTTGGAAAGTTAGTAGTTACTTTTTCCTTAGTGGTCACAACAGGTGTAGCACTGAGTAAAGAGTTCTGTTGAAAGCAGTTCAGTGGAACATGAAAGTAAAAAGTTGCGTTTTCTTGTAGTCAGTTCAATTAGGAGAGATGAACCTCAGAATAGAAAATTTGTTATAGATTTCCTGTCATCCAGAGGTAATCGTTGTTCATATGTTTTTTCCAGACGTGTCCATGTGCCTATGACTACTTTAAGCATATAAGTGCACAGTATGTATAATACATGTATACATAACCCATGCATAGACATTGTCTAACAGAACAATCCTGTGACCTCCTGACTTTAGCAGCGTTAGGATAGGTGCTGACTGGACTTGAAATTGACCTAGGAGAACTTCCTTGTAGAAGTTGTGAGGATCTTGAACAGGCAGCGCGAGAGCATGCACAGTACTATGTTCGCTGAAAGGTGGAGCTCATTCCATGTGATGTCCTTGTCACACTTTTATAGTATTCTTTGAACATTTAAATAGCGATGTTTGCAAATTCTTAAATTTATTTGGCAATTTCACATGGCTTTTAATCAGAATTATCCCCCATTCTCTCCCACTCTGTCTAGAACTCTTCCCAACACATTGCCCTCCTTCTGTCATTTTAATTTTAATTTTGTAATAGTACACTGACTTTAAGGTTGCTTGTCTGAGCATGTTTATGGGTGTGTGGCTACAGACCTGAAAAAAGAATGACTCCCTTTCTTCCAGAAGCCATTAACTGTCTATAGCGCCTCAGCTAGGGGGAGAGGAGTGCCTTGGGAGCCTTTCCTGGAATGCTGGCTGGCTTGATTCTGTAGGTTACCAGGCTGCTGTTGAGTTGGCGAGTCTATGTCATTTTCAGGAGATAGAGTCTATAGTATTCCTCTCAGCCTCTGGCTCCTACATTCTCTCCTCTGTCCCTTACGTGTAGTGTTTCTCAGGCCTTGGAGGTGGTGATAATAGATACCAGTTTTAAGGCTGAGTGCTTAACAGTCACTTACTTTCATTTTCAATTAATTATGAATCTGCATCAACTGCTGAGCACTATAAAAAGAAGCATCTTTGACCAAGGATAAAAATATCATTAATCTATGGGTATAAAGTTTAGAAGGCAGTTCGGTAAACATGTTCATTTTAGCAAAACAATCCTGACCATTTGCTTGCCTATGGGTCCACCTTGGGGTTCTTTGCTAGGCCTACAGCCTCCCTCGTTACAGGCTTTGGACCAGATTGATGCTGCCAGGCAGGAATCTCCCCTGTGAAGCGGAGCAGTTGTTACCCGTCACATCCGTGCCACTGTTGCACCAGTGAGCACACCTCGCCTAGCGGGTGAGAACTGTCGGGTGCAGAGCCCAGTGCTGGACTCGGAGGAGCTACTGTAGGAATCATTTTAGGTTCTTGCTACTTCCTGCTTGTAGTGCTGTGAATGTAGGAAACAACCAATAATTCTGCACTTTTATAATGAGAAAAATATGCATACTGTAACTTAATAAATGGGTATGATTAAAAAGACCTGGCAGTTGGGGAGGGTGAGATGCCCAGTAGGTAGAGGGGCCTGCCGCCAAGCCTGCCGATTTGAGTTCAGTGTGGGACTCGGTGTGGTGCATGTAGAGAACCAACTACTGCAAGCTGTTCTGTGGCCTCCCCTGTGCTGCACCGTGGCCTCCCCAGGTCTCGGTTTAAAGGTAATAAAAACTTTAAATTTAAGAATGAAAATGTGACTTGGGGAGGCAGAGGCAGGTGGACCTCTGTGAGTTCGAGGCCATCCTGGTCTACAAAGAGTGTCCAGGACAACTAAGGATACACAAAAACCCTGTCTCGAAAAACAAACAACAACAAAAACAGGTAGAAAAGAAAATATGAGTTGGGCAGTGGTGTTGCACACCTTTAATCCCAGCATACTTATACTTGGGAAGCAGAGGCAGGAGGATCTTTGTGAGTTCAAGACCAGCCTTGTCTACAGAGTGAGTTCCAGCACAGCCAGGGCTACACAGAAACCCTGTCTTGAAAAGTCAAAAACAAAACCAGAATGTCAATGTGTTTTAAATTAAGAGTTTATATGAATACCAAATTTGTGTATCTTGAAACATTTTCTCTCATATTCCTTCAGAGTGTTTCCTTCCAAGGCTGGGGCAGTAAGTGCTATAAATATTAGTTGTAAATATTAGTTGTATCACAAATAGCCTCATTGCTATTTGTGATAGTTTTATGAACTAAGTTGGAAAAAATTCCCTGTAGGATGAATCACAATAATAGTCTTACTACCATAAGGGTATGGACGAGCCTGCTAGGTTAGTTGCTCACATTGAACTTGTCTGTTGATGGTATTGGCTCATTTTCAAAGTAGAACAGATAGTTAAACTTTGTTGTGCTTGTCATTTTATCCTTTGCTCAAGGTTAAGATTAAGAAATGTCAACCAAAGACATTTTCTTTTCTACAGTATTTTTTTCATAAACAATAGAATTTGGTCTCAACAAATTGTCTTTTTAGGCAATGTGTGTCAAGCCTTCCTGACTAACCCCAAACTTGGTAGGACATGTTGGACTTAGCCTGTAGTTGCACTTAGGGTCTAAGATGTACTCCACTGAGGGAGAAAAGTGCCAAGGACCAACTTGGTTCTGGAGGAAATAAGACTGAATATTGTTTTTCTATAATTGACACAAGTCAAGTTTAGTTCTACAACTGGGCCTCATCAGAGACCCAGTGCCCAGGGCTGTCATTGAATGCTACTTTCTAGTCACTGTTCACTCATAGCTAGATTGAGACTCTCAGGCCACACGAGCCTGTTACCAAGGAGTATTGGAATGTTCCTGAAATCCAGCATCCCAAACTTAGTCATGAATAATCTCATCAGCCAGACAGTCAAAGGATGAATCTCAGCCCTGGTACATTGATTCTTTTGGCTTATTAGATACCCAGATACTCTAAAATAAAACATGTATTGTAGATTTCTTCCAGACCTTTAATACTAGGTCTTTCTGTATTTTGATTTTGGTTGACACTGCTATCATGTTGCAGTACCGAGCTCCCTTTGTACCTTTTACTTTTTCCAGACTATCAACCATATGTATTAATGCTGATTCTCTTTTCCAATGTTTTGCCTTGTTTGCTCTGCACTCATTTAGGTCCTAGCGGTGGCAGGATTGCTCTGTGTGATATTAAAATACTTTGAAGGAGGTGTGGGAAATAACGTGGTAGTGTAGACAAACAAACCAAACACAATGGGAATTAGTGTGAACAGAGTTATGAAGTGGATACCATTTAGGCTCCTAGGAGCGACAGTGAGCTCAAGAGCTGGCAATGAGGACTTAGTACCAAGTTGCTAAAATATATAAAGGCACTGAACCCTAATTCTCCCTAATAGCATTTTCCTAAACATATTTTGACAGCCATTCAGGATTATGAAGCTGCTCAGGAACACAACGAAAATGATCAGCAGATTCGGGAAGGTTTAGAGAAAGCCCAGCGGTTACTGAAACAGTCACAGAAACGAGATTATTATAAAATCTTGGGAGTGAAAAGGTGAACTATTGACGTTTGCATGCTCTATTTAAACAACTGCTTTAAAGCTAATATAGCTCATTTTGTCTTAACCTGGTTCGCTTCACGTATTCATTATTTCTGACATATAATACTCTAATAACCTTTAACATCATAAACTGTATCGGTATGTTATAGGCAAATTTCTTTTATAAAAACCAGCAGTGCACTAATAAAGAGGAGTTGGTGGTGAAGTTTGTGGCATAAATAGGTCCTAGTCCTAGACTTTTTGGGAAAGCTTAAGAAGTAGAGGAGAAAACAAGTAACAGGACAGGAGCCTACCACAGAGGGCCTCTGAAAGACTCTACCCAGAGGTGTATCAAAGCAGATGCTGAGACTCGTAACCAAACCTTTGGCAGAGTGCAGGGAATCATAAGAAAGAAGGGGGAGTTAATATGACCTGGAGAGGACAGGAGCTCCATTAGGACCAAATATATCTGGGCACAGGGGTCTTTTATGAGACTGTTTCTCCAACCAAGGACCATGTATGGGTATAACCTAGAACCTCTGTTCGGATGTAGCTCATGGTAGCTTGGTATCCAAGTGGGTTCCCTAGTAAGGGGAACAGGAACTATTTCTGACATGAACTCAATGGCTGGCTCTTTGAAACCCCCCCCCCCACCCCCGAGGGAGGAGCAGTCCTGCTAGGCCACAGAGGAGAACTTTGCAGCCAGCCAGTCCTGAAGATACCTGATAAGGTAGGGTCAGATGAAAGGGGAAGTCCTCCCCTATCAGCGGACTTGGAAAGGGGCAGGGAAGAGATGAGGGAGAGAGGGTGGGATTGGGAGGGAATGAGGAAGCAGGATAGAGCTGGGATGCAAAGTTAATAAACTGTAACTAATATTAAAAAAATAAAAATAAAAAAAAAAAGTAGAGTTGAACTTCATGTTAGTTGGAGTAGGAGGGAAAAAGAGAGCCCTCCCCTGGACCTGAAGTAAGTTGTAATGTTATAAAGACCCATCTTTCCAGGCTGGAGAGGCTCTGAGGTTAATAATAGCACATGCTCTTTGAAGACAACCCAGCTTCAGCTGTCGGCACACACTCGAAGGCTCACAACTATTTCCAACCCCAGTTCTGACCTTGTGTTCTGGCTTCTGTTGTTGCACACACGGTAGTCACTCAAGCAGGCAAACACCCATGCGGACTGGCTTCTCTGACCAAGCAGACGGCCAGCCTTTGCCCCAGAGTTTAGAGCTTTGTTCTTACTAGTATTACGTAAGCTCAGCCCAAAGTAAGGGGTTCAAAAGAGATTCTGTGAATGTGTGTGCGCTTTATTTTGATTGACTGTTTGACAAGAGTCTCCATGTATAGCCTTGGCTGGCCTGAAATCACTATGTAGCCCTAGCTGGCCTTAAACTCACAGAGATTCACCTGCCTCTCCTCTAGAGTGCTGCTGGGATTAAAGGTTTACACCACCAAACCTGAACGCCCAGAAAAAACTAAGTCATGGTAGTGTGGAAATTCAGAAAGGGACAGCTGTAAAGACTGAACTGTACCCTGAGATGCTTCGGGAGGAAGCCTGGGGCGTTGGTGGGCTTGCCGTGTGTGCACCAGTCCCTAGGTCAGCCCTCAGGACTTGCCCCCACCACCTCTGTGGCCCAAAAGGAAGGAACAACAAAGCTGCCTGTCCAGAACAGTAAAGTCTTGGGCTTACAGCGCTTGTTTGCAGGGTTGTGATTAAACCTCAGGCCTTATGCATGTGAGGCAAGCCCTCTACCACTGAGTTCTCACAGAGGACTACCAGTACAGTGCTTCTGAGTTTTTATGAAAGTTGGTTGGAACCTTTCTAACTGAGATTGCTAATAATTTCCCCTGTTCTTCAGAAATGCCAAAAAACAAGAAATCATTAAAGCATACCGAAAATTAGCACTTCAGTGGCATCCAGATAATTTCCAGAATGAAGAAGAAAAGAAAAAAGCGGAGAAAAAGTTCATTGACATAGCAGCTGCTAAAGAAGTCCTCTCGGACCCAGGTACCTTCTGCTCCTGTGATGGTGCAGTGAGTGACTAGTCAGGGCTTTATGCCTTTTCCCATCTCAAGCAGGGCATGGGGGGAAAAGTGGGTTTGCTGGAGGGCTGTGGGTGGCTGGCAGTCCTGTGGTGTCACCAGTCTCTTCCCACCTGAGTTTGGGGACCCTCAGGTAAATGGTGGAATGCAAAGAATATTGAATGTGAAATACTTCCCACTGGGACAACTTCCTGTCATCTTTTCGTCTTGTTTCATATGATCAGCAATCACATGAAAGAACAATACCAGGCATGACACATATAGCTCCTAGACCCCTGCTAGCTTCCTAGCTCAGTGATGGATGACTCCTTGTACCAAATTCCCTAATGTCTCAGGAGCCTGGTAAGGAAACCAGTATGTCAAGCCAGTTTACAAAAAAATGAGAGGAGAGTAGATCACCAGCTAGGCCTGTTGTGCCCTGTGGAGGTTAGCAGCAAGCTTGCTCTAAGTCATGTGAACAGATTTACTGGTTGATCTGTATGTAAATCTTGGCAGGAGAGTGAGGAGACAGGCTAAGAATTCATGCAGACTGCTTTTCTGTGGCTTCCCAGATATGTGGGGATGCACATTCTAATCTGAGCTAGAAAGGCTCAACAAGGAGGAAAGCAAGTCTTGCCCCTAGAGCAGCTCTTTTGGCATCCATTTATAGCACAGAACTGAAACAGTCCTTTGTCCCAAGTAATGTGTACTCTAGTAGGGACGCAGGTGCACTCACTAATGCATACGACAGGCCCAGTTCACCCTCACTGAGTGCAAAGTGCGTGCACTATCCCTCAGGTGTAATGTGATGTTTGGGCTAGAGTCAGGGGACTTGAGGGACTTGAGGGTGTTAAGAAAGTCCTCCCTTCCCCCCAGCCTTGAGAACTCCTCATTTTATCCTTCATGTTGTCTGCATTACGTTTGGGAGGAAAGTGAGCCTTATGAGTGTTGTGTTTCACTTGTGCCAACCAGCTCCACAGAGCTCCTTTGGTACTTTGTGGAGGAGGACTCATGAGATTCTCACTTAATTTGGGGGTGGTGGTGAGAGTAACAACAAGTAAAGAGCATGACTTCGGGGGTTCTCTTTGCAATTGTCTTCTTCAGGATGGGAATGGGAAAGTATGGATTTGAGTATCAAAGCCTGTAGGTTAATATGTGTGTCTTTATTTGCTGGTTTCTTTTCTAGAAATGAGAAAGAAGTTTGATGATGGGGAAGATCCTCTTGATGCAGAGAGTCAACAAGGAGGTGGTGGAAACCCCTTCCATAGAAGCTGGAACTCATGGCAAGGGTTCAATCCCTTCAGCTCAGGCGGACCATTTAGATTTAAATTCCACTTCAATTAAACCAGCTATTTTACTGCTCCTCTTCTTTATTATTATTACTTTTAACGTTAAAAACAAACTTTGTTTGGGATTCTAATGGAAACGAAACAGGAACAAATCTTTTAGTTTGTCCATGACCAAAGAGTTATTTTAAGAAACAAAGCTGTTTTCATTGTAGACTTAAGGTTGATGGGCTTGCCAGGGCAGGAAGCAAGGAATTCTATTTCTGATGAAGCAGCCTACACTCACCTTGTGACTTGTGGGAGAAGTGGTCTGAGGTGTTTACCCCGTGGAGGTGTTCAAGTAGCATGACACATCTGTAGCCGCAGAGCAGACGGCCCAGCCGTGCAGTAACCACCAGGTGCTGCGCTCTTCAGATGTTTGTGCCCCACTCTTCTGAAGGGAAGGCAACAATCGAGCTTTATTTTCTGGGGGAATTATGCTGAGATTTTGGTCATTCCAGTCACTTGCAACTGTTTATTTGTGTACCAGTGTCATCGCGGCTATCACTGCAGGAGGGGTAAAGACCAACTTTTAGGAACCTTACCATCAGGTGTTATGTCCAGGTATAGACTACTGGCTGAAGGATTTTTGTTCTGTGTCTACAGGACCATACCAACTTAACTTGAAAATAATTGTAAAAACTTAAGGACCCTCCTTTAAATGCTAAACTAAGCAGAATAAGTTAAAATATATGAAAGAGGCTTAGTGCTATTTTAGATAATACTGTTGAAGGTCAATTTGAAATACTTTTTTAACAAGGAAAGTTCCAAGTTGTTTGGTAGAAATTTCCTGTCACAAAATTGGCTTAGAAATGAAGAGTTGCTCTGTCAACAGGCAAACAGAATATTATGATTCCTACTTGCAAGCAGTGCAGTGAGACAGCGTCTCTTTCTCTTAACGTTTAGTCCAGCTGTCTGGTTCTATTGTTGGCTGTTTTTTGGACTAGATGTTCCAGGTTTCTTTCTGCTTAGAAGAAAGTGTAGGCTTGCAAATCTGTTCAACTCTGGCTGTGTCCATGGTAGCATTTCACTCAGTAAGATGGAACTTTCTCCTCAGAGAGCCCTTCCCTCTTCTGTTTAAGCAGGTACTTCTTTAAGAAATGTACTGTTCAGTATTTTGTATACTGAATCTTTTTTTGCCCATTAAAATCAAGAACATTGAGTATTTATGGAACTACTGATGCTGCGTTGAAAACCTAAAAGAATTACTTTGGTAAGAATTATTACTTCTATTCTACAAATATTTTTTTAAACATTGTGAGATATTTTAGGCATAAAGATCTAATATATTGTTTTTGTGAAATTAAACATTTTAGTTAATTGGGGAGTCATGACTATAGCAGCCAAGCACAAATCATTTCCTTAACCTATGGTCATATCCTTGAACATATACAGAAAAAGATTTTTTTAAATGGAAGAACATAAATCACATAGTTTAGTTGGGCAAAACATTTAAGTGCTATTTGCCTCTACTTAGGAACCTATTTTCTTACCAATAAACTTAACAATGCATTTCAAAATAGCTTTCAGCTTTTATTTTGCTTCAGTGTCTCAAAATTCACGTCAGGCAAGACAAACATATCCTAGCACTAGAGAAGCAGGTGGCTCCCTATGAGTTTGAGGCTAGCCTGGTTTCCATAGAGAGTTCCAGGCCAGGCCCCTACCACAATATTGAAGAAACTTAAGCCAGTATGAAACATTGGATGGAAACGATTTAGTCATCTTATGTTAACTACTTACAATTGTTTTTCAGTCTGACTCCTTTTGTGGATGATGTTACTGACAGTTGTGAACTAGAGTGATGGCACTTGTGTGCTTTCCAAAGTGCATTTTTCACCAGCAGAACAAAGGAAGCATCCAGTTGCTTTTCTTCTCATTTACAGTGGATCGACCGTTGCCAGGAGCGTGGAGCCAGAGGAATTTTGACTTGGTTGAAGGTTGGGCTGCACGGACAAGTGCCTCCTAATTTCTCAGAGAATTTTTCCCCTTCCTACTTTTAACAACCAGAGTAACTGAGGATTAGACTTCCTCATTGCAAACTTTGGTGCCAAAGGCAGATGTCGGAGAAGGAGAAGGTAGCTCTCTTGTGTTGATTAGTGACCTAAGGTGACCTCTAAGTTCCAGCTTAGAGGCTGTCAGCAGTCTTCTATCCCAGAGGAGTAAAACGTCAGAAGAGCGTTCCCTCGACCTGCCTACATGGTGTGTCATACAGTGCACATTACTGAAAAAGCATTCTCCCCTTTTCTTTCTTTTTGTTTGTTCATTTTTGCAGGGCTACTTCCACATTCCAGTTTGTTTTTAGGAACTGCAGGTGACCTTTTTTGTAGTTGTGGGGAAATGGGATTGAAGCTCTCCTTGGCTCTCTGTTCTGTTCCTAGTCTTTCCTTCCTTTGTGGTGAGCTTCCTAAGTGGAGTGCTATTGGGCTGTCAGTGTTCATCACTCAGAAGGAAGGGGAAACAACTGCTTCCGGGGGTCACTTCTTTTACTTCTCAGTTCTGCAAGTTTACTCTCTTACTATGAATAGAAGACGACTTGAAAAAAAAAAAATCTCAGTACTTTATTAATGTGAATTGGATATCACATCTTAACTTAAAAATATCCTTAGTCAGTGTTAAAAGTCTGTTTTTAAATAGCAGACTAGTCATTGGAGTTCTGGTAATGAGTGGAATTTAAAATTTTTAGTTTTTTTTTTTTTTTTAATGTAAGCAGCACGGTGGTTCATGTCTGTAATCCCATAATGTGGGGCTGCATAGGAGGTCACTGTGAGACTTTGAGGCTCCACTTCAAAAGTACCTAAGTCCCACACACCCACATCAAAGTAAGTGTGAGAGAGAATTATCGATAGCTAAGTAGAAAAATGTCAGTAGTCACCATTATTTATTCCTGGAAGACGATGACAAATCCACACATAAACCCTTTAAACTGGTCAGGAGCTAGCATTTACCATGAAGGCAGAAGGTAAGATGTACTAGTTAGAAATCACTCACAGGCCTTTGTGGGTGCTGACAGATACAGGGCACTGGGGACGTTTCAGTAAGTATTGGTAAAGATGGTTTTCTTGAATGTACTTGACTTTCCTGTAGTGATACAGGAAGGTGAAGGCAAATAATAATTGTTAATAGCTAATCTTTTTCCAGATCATAGCATTCCTTCTCTGTTAGTGGCAGAATTTATTCTGTAATGATTTCACGTGATGTTAAGAGGGGAGAATTTTTTAAACAGATGATCTCATTTGCTGAATGATTTAAGAGTAAAATTAGCCACTGCGTGGCTCTGTGTAGTGACGACAGGTCTTAGTGCCCTTGTCTGTGGATGAAACGCTCACCTGTGCGAAGGGATGCGGGGCACGGGGAGGTAAAATTAGAGATGTTGACAAATTATTACTCTTCCGTTTACATTTGTTTTAAATGGGACAAGCCTAACTCAGTCTATCTCAAGTTAGTGTTTTAATAAAAAAGGAACTAAAATTATTTCAACTGGGGCTCACACATGTCTATGAATATGGGCAACATTTTTATGCCCGTGTATTTTCACATTTAATAAAAATATTTATGGTCATATCCACTACTTTCTTGCTTCTGATTCATGTTTAACCTTTGAGATAAAAGTTTTAAGTCCATCGTAGAAGTTTGTTTCCAACTTTATTTTACACAAATCAGTGACTGACTGAGCTGACAAAGGTTTCCCTTTATGTGAGCTCACAGGGGAGGGCAGAGCACAACACGTAGGTGTGTTTAAAATCTCAGGCCACCAAGTCCGAGGAAAACGGGACTGAAGAGAGTGGGTTACTCCTCCACTTTAACGCTGAAGTCTAACAAGCGGCCTTGTCTGAATTCTGCTCATTTCTCTGTGTTACCCCTAGCACACTCAGTTAAATTTCCAGCAACAACAACAAAGGCAGCTTTCTATTTCAGTTATATATTTTGTATTGAAGGAAAATAAAATACTTAGATTTATACATTACTTTTACAGAAAGATTAGACACTTTCCAAGTCCTTAGTGGTAATCTTGATAACCATGACAACAGAAAGGCCAGCCTCCTCCTGAAGATGTCGGCAGGCAGAAGGATCCCAGTGCTGCCTGAGAGTGGGAGGCAAGGACACCGTCGTTCTTTCTCAGAGCCTCTGGCTTGCCCTTAGCAGACACAGCTCCTGTTACCAATCACCTCAGTTTAGGTCTTTAAAAGTGTATAGTCATCTTAAGGCCGGCAGCTTATACCCCAGGAACTCTATAGACCCCGGACCTTTACCTTCCCCCTTTTGAGCACTCCTTCCTTGGTGCATGACACACAGTCATAACATACACCCTTAATACTTTTGTCCAGTTTCTGCCATGGCCTTGAAAAAACAAAAACCAAAGGAGTTTGGACATTACTCTTCCTATTGGAAAATTTCCGTTTTCTCACTTTTCTTCAGTTTCTCACTCTTTTAAAAGCCTGCGTCTGCTCCCTTAAGAGTGAATTACAGCCTCAAGCCACTTCCCAGGTTGGTCTTTGATGGCTGAGTATCTGGCATCTTTAGTTATCTTTTAAGTTATGAAAGGTCTGCTTTCAAATTCTCCATTGCCTCATTTCCTTTGAGCCTCACTTTCCCAGCTGCTTAAAATTTCAACCAACTGGCTCTTGGGCAGTCATTTAAATCCTTTAAAGTAGTGGTCAAGACAATGGCTAGGGCACCACCAGAAAGTTTTCCATTGTAAGCACTGGCTGGCTCATCAGTACCTTTGAGTCCATCTTTGTGATGTGTCAGAGGTTTTTGTTTGTTTTGCATTTGTTTGGGTTTTTTTTTTTTTAATTTTTTTTTACACTTTATTCACTTTGTATCCCCCCATAAGCCCCTCCCTCCTCCTCCTCTCCCGATCCCACCCTCCCTCCCCCTTCTTCACGCATGCCCCTCCCCAAGTCCACTGATAGGATCAGTTCTCATCAGGACTGGCTGCATTGTCCTCCTCTGTGGCCTGGTAAAACTTCTCCCCCCCTCAGGGGGAGGTGATCAAAGAGCAGGCCAATCAGATTATGTCAGAGACAGTCCCTCTTCCCATTACTAGGTAACCCACTTAGACATTAAACTGCCATGGATTACATCTGCGCAGGGGTTCTAGGTTATCTCCGTGCCTGGTACTTGGTTGGAGTATGGGTCTCTGGGAAGACCCCTGTGTTCAAATTTTTGTTTGGGTTTTTTGAGACAATTTCTGTATATCAGCATGGCCTATTCTGGAACTCATTCTGTAGTCCAGGCTGGCCTGGAACTCAGAAATCTGCCTGCCTCTGCCTCCCAAGTGTTAGGATTAAGGCATATGCCACCACCTGCCAGGCCTGAGGAATTAGTATTTTAATTATTAGCCTAGGTAAATGTATCACTTTTTTTTTTTTTTTTTAAGAGGGGAGAAAGTGAAAAACTCAGTTACAAAACTGAGTAAGGTGTTTTTTTATTTGTTTTGTTTTCCCCTGAGATGAAACACAATGATTAAGCAAGTTGGGGAGGAAAAGGTTTATTTGGCTTATACTTCTACTGAGGGAAGCCAGGGCAGGAACTTGGAGGCAGGCGCTGATGCAGAGGCCATGGAGGAGTGCTACTTACTGGCTTGCTCCTCATGACTTGCTCAGCCTGCTGTCTTACAGACCCCAGGACCATCAGCCCAGGGATGGCTCCACCCACCATGGGTTGGACCATTCCCCATCAGTCACTAATTGAGAAACTGCTTTACAGGCCGGCCTACAGCCAATGTTAATGGAAGCATTTTCTTAACTGAGGTTCCCTCCTCTCACTTTAGTGTTGAGATAAAACTAGCCAGTGCTATTGGCTCCTTGTCCATTTGACACCATATTACTTTAAAGCCGTAGCCTTTCCTTCCTTATTCACCCCCAAGGTCACACATTAATATAAACATCACAACATAAAACACTTTACAGACTTAAAAAGTCCCACAATCTTACATATTGAAACACTTTAAAAATTCAGTCTCTTCTTTTAAAAAAAATCCAGTCTTAAAAATCATAAGCCTTTCAACTGTAGGCTTCCATACAGATTTTACACATACCACACACACATTTTATTTCAAGAGGGAAGAACCAGGGCACAGTCAGGTCAAAGTAAACCCACACTTCAACTGTATAAATAACTCAATGCCTAATATCTGGGGCTCACTCACAAGCTTCTGGGCTCCGGGTCGCTTCCCTGGCTTTGCTCTCTGCAGCACACACAGCTTGGCTTCTAGGCTCAGGCTGACTCCACGGCACAGCTGCTGCTGTAGGTGTTTGTCCCATAGTACCGGTGTCTCCAAAATGCTGGGGCCTTCTGCAACAGCCTCTCCTGGGCCCTCTTCATGGTGCCGAGCCTTAACTTTTCTGCATGACCCCCTCAATCCTGAGACCTCAGCTATGCTACCGAGCCTATCCTTTCACCAGTGGCCTATCCTGGCCTCTCACGGTGCCAAGCCTTGGCTGCCCTTACCACCACTTGATATTTTCAAAACAGCAACACCTGAGAGATGCACACATTACCAAGTTTGCCCGCTAACACATTGTACAACCTATAGAATACCACGTGTGCCGACACTGGAGACACTTCCTGGATGATCACCTCAGTGATGCTAGTCTTTTCTCAAGTACAGCTGATTCTCTGGCCCCAGCAGACCAGCATTTATTGTCTGAGGAAAGCAAGGATTTAACTCTAGGGGTTCTGGTCTCTTGCTAACCTCAGCCAATTCTTTAGCTCCAGCTGCTCGGACCCACAGACTTTCACACAGATGGCCCGGTTATCTTTGCTTCCCTCTAAACTTCACAAGCCGGGCTCCACCATTTGCACTGACCAATGTTCTTATCCTCCAAGCTCCTACAGAGCAGCCCACTGATCTCTCGAGCCCGGAGTCCCAAAGGCCTTCCACAGTCTTCACTAAGACAATATGGTCAAGTCTGTCACAGCATTAACCCACTCCTAGTGCCAATTTCTGTTCTAGTGAGGGTGGTTTTCCTTGCTGTGAGGAAACACCACGACCAAAGCAAGTTGTGGAAGAAAGTGTTCATTTGACCTACACTTTCACGTCACTGTTCATTGAGGGAAGTCAGGACAGGAACTCAGGCAGGGCTGGAGCCTGAAGGCAGGAGCTGATGCAGAGGCCATGGAGGAGGCTGCCGTCTTGTTCCTCATGGCTTTTTCAGTCAGCTTTCTTAACAGAAGCAGGGACGACCAGCCCAGGGGTGGTGATGCCATGCACAATTGGCCAGTCCTACCACCTATCGATGACTAAGAAAATTATCTGTCGGCTTGCCTACAGCCTCATGGCAGCATTTTCTCAGTTGAGGCTCCCTCCTCTCAGATGACTCAAGATTTTGTCAAGTTGACATAGACCTATACAGTACAGGCCTTGCAAAGAAATTCATAATTAAAAAAGAAAATCTAGATTTTCCAGTATTTACTCTTCTAGAAATGAGACATGCATGTTTAGTCTTTCAAGTCACAAGATGATAGCAGGGAGCTATCTAATCTCATTTTATTTTCAAGACTGTTTCTCTGTTGTAGACCTACCTCTCTGACTCCTGAGTGCTGGGGTTAGAGATGTGCACCACCACCAGGCTTCACATCTGACATTTTAAGGCAGAAATTAATTACAATATAACTTGAATGTCTTAAGTAATAAAAATAGTGAGCCAAGAGGGAAAGGAAGGTATTCTCTTGATTGGAATGAGTAGAGGAGAAGAACTGCCAGAAGAAGGGTACTGTTCGGGTTTGGATCTAAGGGTCCACATTCTGAAAGGCTTAGTTACCAGCTTTCCTTGGTGCTACTGTGAAGTAATGGTCGGAACCTTTTAAGAGATCAAACCCAGTTAAAAAAGTTAAGTTCTTGGTGGTAGGCCCTGTTGGGCGTGGAGAGCCCAGCCCTATCCCCTCCACCTCTGGCTACCAGCAGCCAGGAGCTGGACACGCCTTCTCCCCAGTGTGCTCCCTTCATGAACTGTGCTCTCAAGAGCCCAAAGCAACATGGGAAAGCGACCACGAACTGAAATCCCGAGGGAAAATAAGGCTTTCTTCCATAAGGTTGTATTTTGGATATTTCGTCTTGGCAACAGAAAGCTGAGGAACATGGGTATTTTTCAGATTCTCTATAGTCTATGCTATCAGATAGAGCAGGATTATAATCCAATTATGAAGATTTAAAAGGAATCAAGGCACAGATAGCTATGTCTCAGTACGGAACTTGTAGGCAAACCTGTCCCAAGATGAGCCAGCCCGTCTCTCAATGTAGAGGGTTCCACATTACCCTGGAGGTTTCCAAGATAACTCATCTGACAGAATGTGGAAGGGGTGACTGGATCACTAATCAGACACTAAGCTCAAGCAAATGTTTCTCAAGAGGAATCTGGAGAGCGTTTTAAACAGGAATTCCAGTGGTTACATCAGACCTCCCAGAGGTGACCAACCTTCTCCTCTTGGCCACAGTGCTGCAGCTACATATGTGCATGGCCTCATTCATAACCATCCTGGGATGTACTCAGCCCATGGCACACATGCAGCCAAGGGGCCAAGGTTGTACATCAGATCACATGTGGGTGGGGTTATGTTCTAGTCCCAAGATGCTATGAATACAGAGTATCTGAATAGTTTAAAAATATTTACTGCCTTTGGGATACCTTACTCAGGATGATCGTTTCTAGGTCCCACCATTTGCCTGCAAATTTCATGATTTCCTTGTTTTTAATTGCCGAGTAGTATTCCATCATGTAAAAGTACCACAATTTCTGCAAGTGGGTACCCTAACAAGGGGAACAGGGACTGTTTCTGACATGAACTTGATGGCGGGCTCTTTGACATTCCTCACCCCCCCTCCCCAACTCCCCCAGGGAGAAGCAGCCTTGCTAGGCCACAGAGGAGGACTTTGCAGCCAGTCCTGAAGACACCTGATAAACCAGTATCAGATGGAAGGGGAGGAGGTTCTCCCTTATCAGTGGACTTGGAAAGGGGCAGGGAGGAGATGAGGGTGGGAGGGTGGGATAGGGAGGGAAAGAGGGAGTGGGATACAGCATGGATACAAAGTTAACAAACTGTAACTAATATTAAAAAAATAAAAATAAAAATAAATTCCTATTCTTATTTGTGTACTGAATGAAACACAGCAGGGAAAAATCTTTTACTTAGCTTTTACAGAGGTTTACAGTTTCTATCCTTTACTGTGTTTCTATAAGAGTATTCAGTCCTTTTAAAAACACATGTATGGCTAATGCATATCAAACACTTAGAACATTGTAAATACAGCACAAAAATAAAACCTATTATTTGAGATTAATGATTCCAGTGCAATATGACTTCCATTTAAAAGTGATAGTTAAAGAATAAAATGAGCTTGTTTTTAATAATTCAGAGAAAGCCATGAGTCCTTTTTCTTGAAATTTCACAAGTTTCTGAAAATTTAAATGCATTTTTTGAGTAAGGAAATATGGATGTACTTAAAGCTGGAATACTAAAACGAGGACATCTAACAACATCAAACTACCTGGTAACAACAACAACATCTTAAGCAACCAGAAATAATATATCTATCATAGAAATTAAGTTTATTTTCAAACTTCACATGTATTTTAAATAAAGTTCATAAAAAGTTAACCTTACGTCAGTAATTTGAATGAAATGGCCTACTAGTCTTAGCAGTTCCACAAATTCCCAGCAGGTGGCAGGTTTTCATATTTTATCTTCTGGCAACCAGTGCTAGAGTTCATCATGAACTGAAGCTGCAGGGAAAGGAAAGATAATTTAGAAATCTCAAAATACGAAATTAGCCTAAAATATCACCAAAGAATGAGATATATAAAAAGCTCAAGTTTGGACAGAGGATCTTGCTTATTAATTTACTCTCTATATGTTGTCATTCAGGGTAGATAGCTTTTTGTACTATCATAAATATGTCTTTTAAACCACCTATAAAATGTGAATGTGCATAAGTCTATGAGGATAAACGTGTATATATAGGCAATTAGCATTCTGTGAAATAAACATTAAACTACCATAAACAAATACAGGTTAAAGCCCCATGTGACTGAAGAGAAATGACACAGACAGAGGTCTTGAAGAATGCAGATTGGTTATGCAACAGACACAAGGTGTCTGCCAATCCCATGATGGAAGAATGAAGGAGGAGGATCTATGTGGTCTTCTAATAACACAGGAGGACAGAGCTTTGAGACTCACACTAAGTCCCGTAAAATGTGAGCTCGAGTTCAGCAAAGACTACAGACAAAGTGGTTTCTTAGCGTCCATATTACTAAGCTGCAACATACTCTAGCTGGCTTAAGAGAACTCAGAATGCAAAGTGATATTTTATAGGCAGAAGGTAAAATACGAATGAAACATAGTCTGTACTTCAATTTGAGATGCCATATTATCATTAAATTCCATTTCCAAGATGATAAATACCGGAGAATAGTAATGGGATGAGGAAAATAGGCACAAGATGCTATTGGAACGGAGTTATTAATGACTATCTTGATCTAGAAATAAAAACCTATGCTGATATATGAACATCAGTCACGAGCACCCAGGCAAGCTGCTGAGCTGGCTTTCCTGGCGGAGGACTTGGGCAGGCTACCACAGAGAAGCTCAGCAGAAGCCAGCCAGGGAGGCAATGCGTGCAGGGTTATCTGTGCTAAACTTAGGCCCATCTGTTAAACAACAATTCCTCCACACTGCAGGCAGAAATTGAGGGGCTTCTACTTATTCCAAAATAAAAAGTGCAACTCTAACTAGGTGTGGAGGCGTACGCCTTTATTCCTAACACTCAGGAGGCAGAGGCAGTAGTAGCTCTGTGTGTTTGAAGCTAGCCTAGTCTACAGAGAGAGTTCCAGGACAGCCAGAGTTAAAAACAAACAAACAAACAAACAAACAAACAAACAGAAGGTGGATTTTTTTCTATGTCAAAGATTTTAATGCCAACATCTTGGGTTTTTGTTAAGCAGTCCTTAAATTTCAAAACTTGAGCTTTGGAATTTTTTCACTTTGTATCCCAGCTGTAGCCCTCTCCCTCATCTCCTCCCAGTCCCACCCTCTCTCCCTCTTCTCCTCCCATGCTCCTAACCTAGTCCATTGATAGGGGAGGTCCTCCTCCCCTTCCATCTGACCCTAGCCTATCAGGTCTCATCAGGACTGGCAGCATTGTCTTCCTCTGTGGCCTGGCAAGGCTGTCCCCACCCTCTCAGGGAGAGGTGATCAAAGAGCCAGTCACTGAGTTCATGTCAGAGACAGTTCCTGTTCCCCTTACTAGGAAACCCACTTGGATACTGAGCTGCCGTGGACTACATTTGTGCAGGGGTTTTAGATTATCTCCATGCACAGTCTTTGGTTAGAGTATCAGTCTCTGAAAAGACCCCTGGGCCCAGACTTTTTGGTTCTGTTGTTCTCCTTGTGGAACTCCAGTCCCTTCCAGGTTTTTCTATCTCTCCCCCTTCTTTCATAAGATTCCCTGCACTCTGCCCAAAGTTTGACTATGTGTTTTAGCATCTGCTTGTATACCCTGATTTTTATATTTTTAAATAATATTTTATTTTTGAGAAATCCAAAGAATCATTAGATCATACTTTAAAACACATACTACAAAAAATTGAAAAATATAAAAGGAATGAAATTTTCTCAGTAGATACCACTTGCCAAAGTTAAATCAAAATCAGATAAATAATTTAAATAAACCTACAAACCCTAATGAAATAGAAGCAGTCATTAAAAGTCTCCCAACCAAAAAAAGTCCAGGGTCAGATTCTATTAGACTTTCTAGGAAGAGTAATGCCAATATTCCTCTACTTATTCCACAAAATAGTAACAGAAAGGAAATTGCCAAATTCATTTTATGAGGCCACAGTCAGCCTGATACCCAAAGCATACAAAGAGTCAACAAAGAAAGAGAATTACAGACCAAATCTCCCTTATGAACATAAAAACACTCAACAACATACTTACAAACCGAATCCAAGATTTCATCAAAAAAATCACCCACCATCATCAATATCCCAGATATTCAGGGATGGCTTAGCATATGAAAATCTATCAATGTAATTCACCATATAAACAAACAGAAAAAAAAATGCAATCACTTCATTAGATGCCAAAAAAGCCTTTGAAAAAATCTATTTTCACCCACTCCTGTCAAAAGTCTTGGAGAGACCAGGGATGCAAGGTGCATACCTTAGCCTGAGCTCATTTACACAACACAGGGCCCATGTGTCACTACAGGACGATCACTTACCTGCACTTTTTTTCTTGTTTTCAAGATGGCCTAAGAATTTTCGTATTTCTGTATCATATTTGACCCATTCTGGAACAATCCTTGCAGCAGCTTCTAGCTTGGGTTCTTTTGTTTTGGGATTATTGCACTAAAATCCAAACAAAATCTGTTAGTAAAACAGAAAAAACAACAACAGAGACCACACTCTAGGAAAGACGAAGGAGCTCCCTGAGAGCCTTCATGTGGGTGTGAGCCTTCAGCAGATGTGAGGTGACGCGATTATGGAACGCATGGCCGCACCCTCTACTGGGTGCCCAGACATTCACAGGATTGGAGGACACTGGGGCTGTCCCGCACCCCCGTTCCTTCAGAGTCAAAAGCATCGGAAACAAAGGACTGGAATAACACAAATTTAATACTGATCACAAGTCTGAGACCTGGGCATACCAGGAAGCTTTCTGACCAAGAGCAAAGATGAACCCTCCTGTGGTAGGCACCACATCCCTGGAGCCTACCTCTCACCTTCACAGAACATAGGTCTCAATTTGTCTACCAAGCATAAAAAAGAATAGAAAATATGCTCAGTATGTAGCCTGGGGCAATAGTTCTCTTTCCAGTGTCCATCTGGGCTTAATGAAGACTACTACTCCGCTTTGCAGTGCAATAAACCTAGCCCTTCTATACACTACACTGTTTGTCTTGTCTGAGTTCTTATACGCGAGTGTTAGCCATAGAGCATAGGATAACCATACTACAACTCACAGACCCAAAGAAGATAAACAACAAGGAGGGCCCAAGGGATGCTTAAATCTCACTCAGAAGGGGACATAGAACAGACACTGGAAGCAGTTGAGAGAGGGGCCCGAGTACAGGAGGGAGCGCAGAGAGAAACGAGGGTGGAGATGCGACCTGGGCAGAGTGGTGGAAGGAGAGGGCCTGCAGAGAGAAAAGAAACTGTGAGTGGGGTCTTCTCTGGGACAAGCTGGAGACCTACGACAGGGCAGGTTTTTGGGAGGACATGGGGGTGACTCTAGCTGAGAATCCCAGTAGCAGGGATTGAGGGAATGCCCAACCAATGCCAGGCCCAACCTGAGAGCCACTACAGACAGCCAACCCTTGCCACTATTAAGAATACTCTGCTATGCCTGCAGACAAGAGTCAAGCATGGCTGTCTTCTGAGAGGCTCTACCCAGCAGCAGATACTGAGACTTGGCCAAACGTTGGGTGGAACACAGGGAGACTTAATGGAAGAATGGGGAAAAGATAGAAGGGGAGGGACAGGAGTGCCACAAGACAAACAGGGCCAACTAACTAGGGCCCAGAAGGGCTTGCAGAGACTGAAGCATCAACCAAGGACCAGACATGGACTGGACTGGGGCCCCTCCACAGATGTAGCTGATGGACAGCTGGGTCTTCATGTGGGTTCCCGAGCAAGGGGAAGGTGTTGTCTCTGACATGGATCTGTTTCTGATCATTTTCCCCTGGCAGGGCTGCCTCGCCAGGCCACAGGGGACGAGGATGCACTAAGTGCTGATGTGACTTGATGTGCTGGGGTGGGTTGGTAGTAGGGGGTAAAGAAGGGGATACCGAGGGAAGAGGGAGGGTGGATGGGACCTGAAGGAGAGGAGGGAGGGTGCATGATAGGGACAAAAATCTATCAATAAATAAACAAAACAAACCCCAAATTACACAAATAAATAAAAAACAGAGTCAGAACACAACAACAACAACAAAAAGGAAATCTTTTCTATGCTATTAGCCTGAATTTTTCTCCTTCTATGTCCATGATTCATAGATGTGATCTTTTCACAGTTCCCCCTAGGTCTCATATATTCCATCTGTACTTTTCTTTTGAATTTATCTTTGCCATGGGTTGTCCTTATATTTTTCTCGTGACAAATCAGCAAACCTGAGGGTAGTCTTGGGGACCTCTGAACACAGCTTTTCACTAATTCATAAAAGACCAAACAGAAGAAGTGACATAACAATATATGTGTGCAGACATATTTAAATTTGAACATTTAGTATATGCTTATATGCAAATGAGAACACAGACACTCACCAGATCAATTGTTTTGGCTCTTTTTTTAGAGTCATCATCACACCAGGTTTCACACCACAGCCAGTCTTGAGGAAGAGACTTAATGGCAACTTGGTAAATCATGTTGTTGGGAAGATCCTACAGAAAAAAAAAAGTTAATATACTAGAGACTGCATGAAGTTGTCATTTAGACTTTAAATATATGATAAAAGTTCAACCAGTCTGGGGCATCTCCATATGGTGGGCTTGCTACACTAATCTTACCTGATGATTTGTGTCGTATTACATATGAACACATGACTGGCATCAAGAACGGCTAGGGAGGTCTGAAACCATCACTCTATCTACCCACAGTGCGTGGCCTCATTCTCTCTGCTTCCCTTGAACAGCAGAACCAGGATCAAGTGCTCACATGGATCTGCCCTTTCCACTTATTTTTGTTTTTTACATTTAAAAAATATTTACTTATGGGTGCTTTGTCTATATGTATGTAAGTACACTGCATATGTGCTCAGTGCTTGTTGGGGCCAGAAGAGAATACCAGAGCCCTGGACCTCGAGTTGCAGGCAGCTGCAGGCCACTACAGTACGTTCTGGGAACCGAACTCAGGTCGTCTAGGTGAGAAGTGTATGCTCTCGACCTCTGAGGCACTTCTCCAGCACCTGCGTGGTTATTTATGTTGAACATCAGCATGTTCCCCAATTCTCAAGCAATTTCCCATCTTTTAGTTGGGAAAGATGTTACAAGACCAATTTCAGTTTTCTCCATATTCAAGGCTTCCTACACAAGGACGGCTGGCCCATGGCTTCAGGCGTATTTGAAAAAAAGGCCTAGTAGTTAAAGGCAGAGACTTACAGAGACTTAGTGTATGCCCCTGAAACACCCATTTATACTCCAGTCACAGAGCCCTCCATAGAAATGGAGCTTTCGAAGCATGCTACCTAAGTCTCTGAGGAGATGAAGCTATTTTGCTTTAGATGTGCTATATATCCATAAGATTCATAACTTTAGGGTTCCACTCTCACAGTCCTCCTAACTCTCTTGTAAAAGCCCTAGTGAAGTGTAAGAAAACAAGAAAAGGGAACAAAAATATGCAGACTGAAAAGAAGGGATAAAGCTACTGTTGCTCGCAAGTGAGAGGCTGTTTATACAGAAAACGCTATAAGCCAATGAGAAACGCCCGGACCAACGCAAAGCTTGGCATTATGTCCTTTGGAGGAAAACGAGTACAACCAAGATGATCACATTCAACAAATCAAGCCAGTCTCAGAAAGACAAGTACCATATGTCTTCTCTCATAGGGAATTTTTAGATTTTGTATAGATACATAAAATCATGTATATATAAAACAAAAAAGACAGTGAGTAGACACTCTCTTTTCAGTGAGTATACACACTAAGGATAGAATACACACTAAAGATAGTGTGTATACTATTTATACACAATGGAGTCATAAAGAAAAAATGAAATCCTGCCATTTGCAGCAAAAGTTAGGTGGCAAATACCATGTCAAGTGAGATAAGGTGTAATTAGAAGATGCCTTTTCTTATATGTAGGAATTAAAGAAATATGAATCCGAAAGTACAATAGTGACTACTGGAGATTGGGAAGGGAAAAAAGATGGAAAAACATGAGGTGAAAAGAAGGGCAGTTGGGTTCAATCAGTCATGCAGGGTGCATACATTGCTGAAAATATCACACTGAATGCCATTAATGTAAACAATTAATGTGTTAATAAAAGTACTGGTTAAAGTAACAAAACAAAAAATATACAGTAGCCTGCGACTTCATTTTTGGTGGTCTTCCCTCTTTCTCTGACTTTTCTCATACCCTAGTGATAAGGCCGTCTGGCAGAAACTGACGCTTGCCCACAGCCCGCAGCCCGCAGCCCGCAGCCCACAGCCAGTAGCTGGTCCTGAGAGGTTCAGCAGAGCACCCAGCTATGACTGGTCAGGTTCCTGACCCACAGAACCAGCCTTTATTGTAGCTACGAGGTTTTACAGTAAGTGCTATGTAGCAATAGATAGCCAATCCAAGATTGTTCCTGGGTTTTGCCTGTTGAGAATAAAGCTGTGAATATTCAGGTACAAGACTATGGGGAACATGTTCATAAAAGTAGGTGTGCATTTAGCCTCAAAAGAAGTAATTCAAATTCTTATGCTCTCAAACACAAATGCCCACTTTCACCATTAGGAATAGCAGCATGAGAAATTTTGGGGGAGCTTCTATATGAAACCCATTCAAATTCTGCTTTCATAGAAACAAATAGTTATCCATTTTACACTGAAAACGCCAACCTTCACTAGGCGTTCTGATCCCTCTCTATCATTTTTCTATTTTTATTTCTTCTCCAAAAATTAATCACACAATATATGTATACATAGACACACACATATTGTAACTAAAATGACAGCACGGTGACCTCAGGGAGGCTTTGATGTTTTCTGTGGGTCCAGGTCTTAGGAGAATATGCGGCTTCCACCACCCACCAGCCGAATGAGTGTGAGCAGTTTAGTAAGTAGAATTAGTAAGGATTTGGGCTGCTCTGTCTTTCTTATTATGTGTCTAAATTATTGTAAATAACTTGGGACAAGGATGAATAATGTAGTGGGATGTGAGGGAAAGGCGCTTGTCGGGGGTCTTCGGGGACACTGCACACAGAGCTCTGTTGAAGATCAGCACACAGAAGGGATGATGGGAGAGTGTGGCATTCTTGCATGTGGAAGAACCCTGTGTCATGATGAACATTAGGTAAGGTGACTGAACGAGAGAAGAAAGGATAGGTTTGAGAACGGAAAAGTAAGAATACTGCAGAATAAAACCATTCTAAGCTTGAAATAAAAAATATGCCTGACTAGAGGTGTTTGCAGAAAGGGCAGAAGTTTGAAAAAAAGTGGCAAAGAAAACTGTTTATCTGAAGGATCCTGAAACAGTTTATACACCATGTACATTTATTCATTAAGATTTGTCAGAAGATGCACTGACCTGATCCAGGTTTGAAAGACTGTTTGGATCTTGGCTGAGAGCTTGGTACTGGCCGCGGAGCCGGTCCCCTGCTGAGATTCTCCGGAACTTCTTGAGGTCCACGACATACAAGGCACTGAAAAAGGACACTCTTCACCGTCTGTGTTGCTACGTGGCTCGCCCCAGAGGCTGTTTACAGCAATGCTGTGCTGGGTAGTTTTGTTGTCAACTCCATACAAGCTGGAGTCACTGGGTAAGAGGGAGCCAACTGGGAAAATACCTCCATCACAGTGGCCTGTGAGCAAGTCTGTAGGCTATTTTCTTATTAATGATTGCTACGGGAAGGCCTAGACCTCTGTGCACGGTGCTCTAACTGGGCAGCTGGTTTTGGAGTGGGCTACAGTGATCGAGCCAGGAAGCAGTGTTGCTGTACTGGCCTCTGCTTCAGTCCATGTCTCCAGTTCCTCTGCTGAGCTCCTGCCCACTTCTCTTTATGATGGACTGTAAGCAGCAGAATGGAACAAACCTTAAGTAGCTTAAGTGCGTGGCACATGGGTGTATAACATGCATCAGCGAAATGAAGAGGAATGGCTTGAGTAAGAGCAAGTACATTGGGCTGCGCTGTCTTTTAAATTGTCGGAAATATTTTGGGGCAAAGTGAATAACTTAATGGAACGTGAGGGAACAGAATGCGAGCTTTTGGTCATGGTGCTTATTACAGCAACAGAAAGCAAACTAGGACAGACTCCTGAGGACCTAACAAATATTTACTTTCATAAATCTGAGTCCAGTGTTCTGGTATTTTTGCAGAGCTTGAGGTTTGCTATAACTATGGCAAGACCTATATATTTTAGAGTCATCTCAAATGTTTTCAAGTGTTCATGAAACTCAGAGCCCTAAAAACAAGTAACTGTCAGAAGGCAGTGTCTGCACTTTGTCAATGACAAACAGAAGCTTTTACTAACAGAGCTGCGCAGGCAGGAGCACACTCCGAGCTCTATCATGGCCTTTAACCCTTGGGTCAATTAATTGCTAGGCAAGGAAAGCCTGAGCAGGTCACCTGAATGCTGACTGCCTTAGTTTCCACAGCTTTCAAGTAGACAGGACAGGATGGTGAGACTGTGAGAAAACTCTTAGAGGTTCATGCACAACAGGGACTTTCACAGACAGCACACAATCAGTGACAGCGGGATGAACACAGTAGCCAGCCAGGACACAGTAAGAACATGAGCCGTCAGACCTGATATGGTATTTTCTTTTCACAAGGTGTGACGCCCAGTATCCTGTCTTCCAGAAGCGATAGCCGTCCATTTCCCTGCGGCTGTCACAGAATGGGGTGAACCCATACGGAGCTCCACCCAGATCCAAGTCTCGGAGTTCCTTTAGGTCGTGTCTAACAATCTAGGCATGAAAACAGCATCTCTGCACAGTGCACACTCTAAAACAGCATGAACTCTTTCCTTGTAAGTTTCCAATTATTACCTCAGTGCACATAACTGAAGGTACATTTCTCCCAGATACTGTTATATAACGTAACTTACGAGGTTAAGTTTTTCCTTCTTGTTCTGACAGGTTAAACGAATCAGAAACTTTATATTAATTGTGGTCTTAACAGTACAAATTCCTAGCCTTATCATTTATAGATAAACAAGTTTACACAACACACATTTTTGGAAAGCGGCTAACTATCACAAAAGCACACAGCTCCTAGTTCCCCAGTGTATAAATTAATACTGGAAAATATTAATTTGAATCATAAAAAGTCTTGATTTGAAAAGTAGCTTAAGTGACAATGTTTACATGTTTTAACTTTCCAGTTTAAAAAAGAGATGTATTGATTTAATGTGTCTGAGTGTTTGACTATGCTGTGTCTGTGTGGCATGCGTGTGCACTGGCCACAGAGAGCAGAGAGGGACTGGAGACCCAGAACTGGAGCTCTAGATTGTGCTCACCTTTCTGGGAACAAGCCTGGGTCTTCTGCAGCTTCCAACCACTGAGCCCTCTCTCTGGCCCTGCGCCTTACTTTTCCATTGTCTCAAGCTTGCTGAAGAAATGCTGGTGTAAATGTTGAGGGAAGGCAAGGGAATTTTGTTTTAAAATCTTACTCTTTTGAAATCTTTTCTTTCTTCTCCACCCATGTGTGTATACGTGCATGCGTGTGTATCTGGCTTGTGCACGGCAAGAGCCTTTACCTGATGAACCATCTCTCTGGCCCAACGAAGAATTTTATTAGGTCAGTATGTATCGGCAGCATTAAAGTTTTTAATATAATAGTTGAAATTAATTTGGCATAAAATAGTAGCATAGGAGAATTAGTTAAGTCCTTCTTTTCCTTATTTCCCTCTCTTTCCTCCGATTCTAATCTCTGTCTTTTCCTCCCTATTGGATTTTCTTTTTAGGTGTTCTCATATGTGCTTCAAGCTGGCTTTGAACTAATCATCCTCCTGCCTCTATCTTTCTTCCTTTTGTAATTAATAATTATTAAAATGTATTCACTTTGCATCCTGGTCATAGCTATCTATCCTCACCTCCCACCCCCACCCTCTCCCCCTCCCTCTCCCCTATTCCTCAGAAGAGGGAAGCCCCCTTCTCATCCTAGTCACATGTCCTCTTCCCCTGTGGCCTGGCAAGACAGTCCCTCCAGGGGGGGAAGTAACTGGAAAACTCTGACTCTATCTTTCAAGTGCTGGACTACAAATAAATGCCACCACACTCAGTGGGTGTGAGCAAATTCTAATACGGAACTTGAAAATAGACGTTTGTTGGCTCTACATACGTGAAGCTGATGGGCTGCTTGGTTCTCAAGGGGGTGCCCTAGCAACTGCAGCAGGAACTGTCTCTGACTTGGGCTCTGTTGCCTCCCGCTGGATCCCATTTCCCTAGCAGGGCTGCCTTGTCTTGCCTCAGTGGAAAAGGAGACACTTAGTCCTGATGAACCTGATGTGCCAGGGTGGGGTGGTAGCTTGGGGTGGGAGGTGGGAGAAAGGGCGTATGGGGAAAGTAGATGGTACGGTGGGATTGAGAGGAGAGGAGAGAGTGGGTTTGTGATTGGCAATGGGATGTAAAATGAATAAATAGATTAATTAATGAAAAAAGAAAATATACCTTTGTCTATGATATATAAATTATGCATTTAGTTTATATACATTGGCACTTAAGTATTAGTGCTATTAGAAATTCTGTATACTTTCAAGTATTTTTTCATGATTACTGATTACAAAGGTACTGAAATGAGGTAAAGGGAAAAGCCAAAACTTTATATATATATATATATATATATATATATGTAGATTTTGCCATTGAGGTAGCCTTTAGTTTTTTCCAGCTAAATTTAGAGTCCTTTCTTAGGTGACAGACATGGAAACATGATGATTGTCTCAATGGCAAACAAAGCTGCTGATGGTTAGCAAGGAGAGAGGCTATGTATAGCTGCTAACCTTTCCAGCAAGAACAAACAGCTAGTTAAAAAAAATGTTGATATCCACAGAAATTGATATAACTTTATTTTTATAATAAATAACATAGACATGTCTTATTTTTACTTGTGAAATTTAAAAACTGGCTGTTTCAGATAGAAACTTCCCTGTTCTAAGCAAACAGTGCTCCCTGCCACACTTTCAAGTCTGCCCATGCTCTGACAGTTTGTTTTTAAACTTAAGGTACTTCATGTATCTCATACAATCATGTCTTATATATTTATGAATATATAGTGACACTAAGTTAGTAACATAAATCCTTAAGTTCACATTCAGTTAGAAGCAAAACCAAACTTTATTATAAGAATAATTACTCTTGTTACCTGGTCAGCATCAACAAATATGACTTTGTCCACTGCCAGTGGGAAAAGGACGTCAAGGAAAAGGATTTTGTAGCCCCAAATGATCCGTTGCTTTTCAGTCTGTTGATGAAGCCAACGAGGCCACTTATACTGGACAAGGTCATACTGGAATCCATATTCCTTAGCCATGTGAGGAATTACTTCCTAAACACAAGTAACAAAGTGAAACAATACAGCTCAGAAGAAGGTTACTATAGATGATTACAAACTGATTGGAAAATGCCTAAACACTACTTTAATAAATTTGTTCCAGAACTGAATGGGAGGGTGCAGAGGAGTAAGAACAGGGGAGCCAGCACACATAAATTTGCCTTTCCTCATTCAATTCTTGTTTGTTTCTAGGTGCTGATAGATCACTCATCTATTTCTTTTAATGCTGGAAATTTAAAGTATTTTAAATATAAAGAATTATTTTTCCTCATTTTATAAAGATCCATTTTATCTTAAATTGTTGAAGTCATTATTTTCATATAAATCACGATGAAAAAAATCCAATTATTCAATCATACATCTGAAAAGGACTCACGCAACCTACTGCTGTGTCCTGTGGCTGCTGTAGTGCGCAGCAACCCCTGCACCCACTCAGTCTGTGCTCCCAGAAGCCTACAGGTTAGAGACAATGGCCACAAAAAGAGACGAGACTGTAGCTAACTGCGATGACAGAGCTATGGAAAACGATGAAAAGGTCAGGAAAGCGGAGCGGTGGATGCGTGAGCTGTAGCCTTCAACTCTAAGCCGAGGAACTTAGCATGGCTGAGGGGAGGAGGTGCTCCGGGGGTTTTAAGGAGATGACCCTAGTTCGGCCAGCATCTGGATGTGCGGTGCTATGTGGAGGGCTGGGAGACGTGTCTTTGGTGGAGGAAGTGCGTCACTGGAGGAGGGTTGAGAGTTTAGAGACCCGTGCTATTTGCAGGTTGTGCTCTCTGCTGCAGCCTGTGGTTCAGCACGTGAGCTCTCCGCTTCCTGATCCAGCAGCCCCGCCTACTTGCTGCCATGCTTCCCCAGCACCACCCAGGCCTATACCATGGCAGCAAATCACTCCTTCCGAAAGCTGGCCTGGTCTCGGCGTTCCCCACAGTGAAAGGAACTAACGAGGACTGTGACTTTGCGGCTGGAGGGTGTGAGGTCAGCCACTGCAGAGCCAGTGGTTTTAACGTGGCTGCACCAGAGCTGCATGCGTGGGGCTGCGCACTGTCCTGAGTATGTTCTCTGCACTAAAGCGCCTCCCAAAGAGAAAAAGCAGATTAGGCTGGAAGACACTATTTTGAATAGGTATTACTTTTTGCCATGAAGTGCTGCAAGGTTTTTATCCAGAGAACCATTTTTCTAGTTAGTAATGTAATCTGCTAGGGCAGTCTTTAGATTGTATCATCTTGGTCTACAGACTTCCCATTCCCATGCAGAAGTTTGCTCCTAGGGAATGTTTAAAAGGTAGTAAAAATAGTTAAGATTTTGTCTGTCATTGTATGTTCATTTTCAGTTCTACTGTCGGTTGCAAACTGAGCACAGAAATGCTGATGGTGAGAGACAGGCTGTCCACGAAGGCACTGTGACTGGCCTCTGAGGCTGGAGAGCTTGGGGTCCAACCTCAGCTGTACATAGTTAGCTGTTATATCAAGGGCCTATGCTACAAAGTTTGGATCACGTACAATGAAAATACAACTTTTGTCACGCTTCCTATGACGTAACGTAGCCTTCACTCTTGCATTTGTCTCCCAAGCGACCAGAGTCACACTAGATAGTCTGTGTTGACAGTGACCTTCACGATGAGCAGGATTAGGGGCCACAAAGTCAGCCCACGCTCTGGAGGAGGCCGGGTTTAGCTATGGCAGCCAGCCAGCTGGGCATAGGCTGACCCTAACAAAGACGCTGGGTGCCACAGTGTGCATGCGTATCTTGAATGCTGTACTCTCCTAAGGTCCATGGCTGCTCAGGGCAAGGGCTGTCTGAGAAAGGCCAAGCAGCTGTTCCTCATGGGTCTTCCCCTCCACCCTGTCCTCTGCTTCTGGTTGGTAGCTGACTGTGTTTGCATCTTGTTATGGTAATAAGCTGTGAGAAAACAGCTTTTGTGAGTTGCGTAGGCCCCAGTCAGTTACTAGACTTATGGAAAGGTGGTCTTGGGTATCTGCAGGCACAGGTGGTCTTAGTTAACTGTAATAGAATACCAGGACCAAAGGGACTTGAAGAAGAGTTTTGTTTTCTTTTTCAATTGATTATTTGGGAATCTTACATCATGCACCCTGACTGCTCACCTCCCATGTCTGCCCCTTCCCCCCACATACAAAACAAAACAAAAGAAAAAAAGAAAAAGTTATTTTTGTGTTATCCATACACTCACTGCAGCATGGTCAACTTTCTTGTGGCCAGTCCCCTAAGAATCTTTCTCTACCGGCATCTATGCCAGAAAATATCAACTGAGGAGAGCCTCGAGGCGGCTTAAAAGGGGAGGAGCCAAGTCTCTTGTGCCCATGGTACTTCCTGCACCACAGTGGCTTGGTCTGGCAAGGGGACAGAAGGGAGAAGGGTTTTTGTTTGTTTTGTTTTTTGTTTTTCAAGACTGTTTTTCTGTGTAGCTCTGGCTGTCCTTGAACTTGCTCTGTAGACCAGGCAGACCTTGAACTCAAAGATCCTCTAGCTTCTCCCTCCTGAGTTCTGGGATTAAATGTGTGCACCAACCACATCCAGCCATTGAAAAGTTTGACTGGGCTTATGGCTGCAGAGGGTTAGCACCCATGAAGGCAAAAGGAAGGCATGACAGCAGGAACAGCTAGAAGATCACATCTCCACCACAAACAGGAAGAAGGAAGCAGGCTGGAATGATGGAAGGCTGGCGAAGCCTCACCGCCTGACCCCACACACCTCCTAATCCTTCCCAAATAGTTCCACCAACTGGGGACCCGGATTCAAACACATGATCCTATGTGGGCATTCTCATTCAAACCACTACAAAGCATCTTGGTTTTCTTTCCCATGAGATTACGAAGAATACCGAAATGGAATTTAGCAATAGGCTTGGAAACACTAAGGAAGAAGAGCATGGTTAGCCCCTTTTCATTCTCCTTTTATTATTACTTTTGGTAATAATAGCAGAAGGTGCCATTTAAGTTTTATGGGATCTGATCACTTTCTGCTGAGAATATAGGGGGAACTGAAAAGACTGCGGCAGGAAAGTGAGGCAGAGTACCCATGACCCACGCTGGCCGCCTTCCGCCTGCTGGGGAGGAGCGCGGAGCGCCCAGAGCGCTCACACTGCAGACCAGCACACCATGAGACAGAGCGCTCAGCACTCTAAGTGCTCTTAGGCTGCTCTCTAAGCCATTTTCATTTTTCTTGATAGTACTCATGTTTCTGTCTTTACACAGAAAATATGACAGAATAAAATCCTCTTAATTGAAATTTTTTATGTATTTTCATCAAATTTAAATTATCATAAAAGCTACTAATCATTCTAGTTTTGAGTTTACTTAAAGGTACACCCTTCTGGTGTTCTTTTCTTTAAATTCCTCTTTAAATAAAAAAAAAGTACACAGAGTTTTCGTAACCTGGATGAAAATAGTAAATATAATTTTAAATTCAAAGTTGTAATTTGGGTAAACATACCGTTTAAAAGCTCGCTTTGAAAAGAGAAGAGCTTAAAGAGCTCACAATGTTAACAAAACCTTTCATGTCAAGCTTTAGTCACACTGAGATAGCAATGTACTCACTTTGAATGTTGGTGAGAGGTAGTTCTTTAGAAACCAGAACTTCACTGGAGTTTTGGTATTCCGCAGAACAGAGAGCATCATGATCCTGTGTAAAAGAACATGAAACCAAATGTAAGGTGACTTCCTATCTTTCCAAAGGCTTCTAGATGCTTAAAAATAGGAATTAAGTTTTCCACTATGAATCATGTAAAATCAAATGGAAACACTCTCAAACATTATGTTTGTTAAAATAAGAAGTGTGTAAATATAAGAAGGGTGTAAATATTTTATCACAAAGCTGGTGTGAAGTGGCCCTGTCACTGAACTAGCATCTACTTCTGGCTCTGCCACTCTGTGATAAACATAAGGCCTTCGAAACCCCAAACAGAAGGGGCTGGTGCGCCCTGGAAACCCACCCTACGTTGCTTTAGTCCAGGCCTGTCAGTACAGATGACTCAAGGACCCTGGAAGCAGTCTCCTAACGCAGCAGTGCCATAACTCAGTGCTCGAGGCTTTCTTTGTGACCGCTCTCAAGCTCTCCATCAGCTTTCAGAAATATGAATGCTATCCTTCCCCCTGACTTCCTTCTACTCGCAAAGAAAGATATTACTTCATGGAAAAAGAAAAATTTACACATTTTAAAAATCATCTTGTCAAATATAATGCATTTTCTAACCTTAGTGAAAACTACTCTAAATCAGACTAATGAAATGTAAATATATTTTGAAAATTACATGTAAAAAAGCAGATACTGATGTGACAGGAAGCAAATATAAAGGAAGAAACAGGAAAAACCTTTTTTTTTTGCAGTTCATCATTACATTTTGTTGAAATCTGAGCTGTGTAAAGGCATAACTTTCTGAGAATATTAGAAAACACTCACTTACCTTAGAAAACGTTCATATAAATGGCCAGAAGCAACTGAAAAAATGTTTAGGATGTCATTTTCCTTTTTCTTATCTTCCTGCAGACTTTTTGTGAAGCTTATAATAAAAACACAGGATGGTGGATTCTTAGTACATAATGCACATTACATTAGAACTGCGCACATCCAAGTGACACGCATCAGAATAGCAACTATTAAATACACGGTCCTGACAATTATGAGCTATTTGTAATTAATGTGGTGGAATGTAAGGTTTATGAGCGTCTCTTTAGACACGGAATGCAACTAAACTCCCTCCATCCTCCATGGTAATGTGAAGTTTTGTGACTTCCAGGAATGAGGGGTAGCCTGCCACGTCACACCTAGAGGACTGGAGTGTAAACAGGGCAACAGCACAGAAAGAGGCAGAACACAGAGCAGAGCTGGTCATGTATAACGAAGACTTACGGGATTAGGTGGGAACGCGAATGTTGCTCATGAGGCAGCCTCCCCTAGAATGTTACTGAATGCTGAAGCGTGCGACAATGACTCAATGGGTTGCACACTGGCTCTGCATACACGTGAGCCCTGAGCTGGGATGCCACTACACATGTAAAGCAATGGGAGGCCACCACCCATGTAAAGCAATGGGAGGCCGCCACCATGTAAAGGAATGGGAGGCCGTCACCATGT